AATCCAGACCTCTAGTTCAGATTATTGATAGGAGGCTCCAATCAATATCATAATTAAAGTTTAGCAATATTTAGGTAGGGAAGAGATCCTTACTAACATGCTAATTTACACAACATGAAATTTATAAAATAACCAAATACTCTGATCCCATGATATTTCTTATACAAAGTACATCTTCTCGATAGACATTAATTTAGACAAAGCTCATATATGACAGAAAATTTACTAGAGGCAAACCGCCTTTTCTACCCAACCCTCTAAAAATCACTGCAAAGAAACAGTAAGATAAATTCTTGGCCTAAATGGCTTAATCGTAATGCTTATTTTGTTTACCTAATATAATGTTTTAAAGATAATCCATCCCTATATTATTTTGTACTGAATTGGGTCACAAATATTAGATAAAACTTTATTTGGTATAAGAAAATAGACGAGGAACTTTATTGATATAAATATTTATACATATTTTTAAATTTAATAAAAACATCATGGAAAAATATAATTATTATCATATATTGCATATCAGAATGTAATTGAATATCATTTATAAACTACAACTTTTATAAAAAATATATATATAAGGCGATAAATTATAATTTGAGCTAAAATATTTCTAAAATAAAAAATATATTGTTAAAAATTTACTTCATAATGAAAAAGAATTTCAAATTAAATTGTATTATATAGAAATATTTCTAATTTGACAGTCTCATTCAAATCTGACGTTTTAAAAGTATATATAAATTAATAATGCGAGATTTTAAAAATATCTATGAGATTTTGATGATTTAAATGGCCCCCAATGTATTTGAAGCGATAAAAATTAAAATCTCATGAAATCACTTTCACACGGTGTCAGCCGTGAGATTTTGATGGTGTGAGAATTCGAAATCTCACGGTAATCACTTTCACATGTTACACCGGTCCAGATATTTTTTCTAAAAAAATTTTCAGGCCCGGCCCAGGTAAATTTAAAAAATGATATATTGATAATAAAAATTATACAATAAAAAAAAGATAAAAAGAATTATTGTATCTGTATGTATGATATTTTAATTTATGTGAAGAATTATTAAATACAGAGAGTTATGCAGATTTAAATAGTTGGAAATAATTAAAGTGAAGAGTAATTTTTTCCAAATCATTTAACCGAACCTGGACTATCCTTAACACTTATAGATAATAATAAAGTAATTTAAAGATAGATTTATATTACATTTATGGTTTAAATCTTTTGATGTAATATTCTAAATAATAAGAAGAGAGATAATTTATTAATATTCAATCCGCAAGATGGCCTATATTGTTATATCTAAAGTCACTAGTTTATAAATCTTGGGTCGTTTGTAAAAGTTTGACAAATTTCTTCTATTTTTGTATTTTAAACCACCAATTCCTATAGGCTAAACACTTAATAGGAGGCAATTTAGCCGCTGTATTGACTAAATAGCCAAAAAGGCAAAAGAAAATTTTAAAAAAAAAACGGGGAAAAAAATGAAAAACTCGAGAATAAATACAAAAAAAAGATATACCACTAATATTTAATTATTACAACAAATTAAGAATCAAATATATGATGATATTGAAAAATGTTATATTTGACATAGATGAATTACAATGAGGAAAATAAGAACATATAACATTTAGATAACATATTAAAAAAAGTAAGTTTTTAAAAAAGAAATAAAAACTAGATAAAGGACTAAATTTTAAAAAGGGATTATTTATGCAAGAAAATATTCAGATTTTTAAGATATGATATAGATTATAATGATGAACAACCAAACGGAGACACCAAAATAACTTTCCACATTTTTGAGCATGGTGTAAGTTATTATAATTAATATTTTTAAGTTCGCAAGCTTAACGAATCCATTTTATAAAATAGGTGACAAAGAAAAATAAGAATAAAAGACCACACTAAGTTATTTGAATCTATTACTTAAATAAAATAGCTGTGAACGCATCAAAAATACAATTATGCTATATAGTTGTTCCTCCCTCATATCAGAAGAACTAGGACAAGCCTCTAGTTGGCAACTCCATTGTATACTTTAAGTGGAGGAGTCTCTCTCATTTCTGTAGATAGCAGCTACGAATTTCTTTAGGCTTTAGCATCGCGAAATCTCAACTCCTAAGTAACGACGAGTAACGCCATTGGTCTTAGACTTAATCGCGATACCTTATTACTGTATTCTCTGTCAAACGGTAAACTCCAACTGTTATTCTTTGAACTACGAGTTGAAGAGGTATATTGATTAGACATTCAAAATGCAATGTTACTATAGCCAGGACCTTAAAATCTGCTGCTAATCAAGGATTTTCATGTATTGATCCTCTTGCCCATTACAATATAAATTAGTAAACACTGGCTACCTGCCAACTATACATTACATCGCCATGACTTCAAAATCGTTCGACTTTCACGCCCTAGCCTTTTTTAAAGAGTTGTGGCACCGGATCTCTACTAGGAGAGAGGATCCCAAAGAGGGGTACTACTTACTTCAGATGGTTGTAAACATTATAAAATGCAATCATCTCAGTTTTATACTATTAATGACCGAGACGCCAAGATTTAACATAATGTGCTTGAAATACGCTTAGGCAATTCAGCTCAATTATAACGTTGGCGCTAGAACTTGAATCTCAGTCAATAAAAGACAGCAAAAATTAATGACAAAAAAAATGCGAGTTAAAATGAGGAGAAGTCGGGCAGCCAAAGCCAATTATGCGTTCTGGATGAAGAATTAACAAATTTTCGCCATATTTAATTAATATCATAATTAAAAAAAATTAAAAATAGGTTAAAGCTTTTATTAAAATCTGAAGTATACCATGTTAATATTGAATGAAAAGTATTTGCTATAATTTTTACGATAAAAATATTTACCATTAGTCTACATTTTTACAAAGGGGTTAAAAGATAATGCATTTGTCCACGAGATTATAGAAATGGAAGCCAAGGAAGCTCATAATTTCAAATGATACACAGCAGGGTCGTCACAAGCCTTACAATCTCAGGGGGCTCAAAAATTATTTTCAAAATTACCCCTTTTTTTAGGTTAACATTATCAATTACCTTACCTATTTTTTAAAGCCTTTATCCAAAATTACCTTTTTTTAACTAACATCATCAAAATTACATTTGGTATAGTAAAAAAAATCAAAATTTTGAGAAGGTTTTTCAAATTTTTCAGGGGACTCGAGCCCCTGCATCTCCCTAGTTATAGAGTGGTAAATATAATATAGTACAAGCCGTTTAACACACTTACCAGAAATAGGAACATAAAAAATATAGAAGATGATATAGCAAATAACAACTTATGTGTCATTCCAATTAATTTTGAAAGAAATATCAAAAGAAACTTTAAATGACAATGAAATATCAGAGAATGATATGATTAGCAACAAGAAACAAAGCATAGAACACAACATAGTCTCAAAGATGGTGACTAATTAATTCTGATTTTTAATAATGCCTATTATGTGGCCCAAATTAAATCACAAATCGGTATAATTAGAGTTGTTAAGGAGCAGTGATACAGGAGCGGCGCTCCTGGAACGCCGCTACATTTTTCAAAAACACCTGGAGCGCCCCTCCTTTTTAAAAATGAAGAGCGGGAGCGGTAGCTAGCTCCTTTTAGGGCTGGAGTGGAGGAGCGCCGCTCCACCGCTCCTTTAAATTTAAGGTTTAAATTAAATTATTTTTTAAATATTAATAATGTTTGCTAATTAAAATTATTTTATTTAAATTTATCCATTAATAAATGTTGAGCCGAGTTTTATATTGGTTTTTCATCTAATAATTTTAAATATTAAATATCAAGTTTTTCATTTTTATATTGAAAATTTTTTGGAAAATATTGTAAGTCATATTAATATTCATTTTATAGACATATAATAAAAAATAGTTTTAGATATTATGGATTTGGAGATCATAGAAGAAGAAATCGAATTTCCATTTCCATCATACAAAAAATATTTTTAACTTCTAAAAGATGTTGATCCAAATGAACAAACAAATTTAAGAGCAAAATGCCTTTTGTGTTTAAGTAAAAGTATTTCATTTTCAAAAGTGAGCAGCTTCAATCTAAAAAAAAACATTAAAAAGTAAATTCAAAATGATAATATATTTTTTTTATTTTGGAATAATTTTTTTTAAATGGTTATAAATATTTTTGGGCAATTCATTATAGTTGAGCCTGGGTTGTTTAGATATAATGTTTTTTTTAAATATATTTTAATATTTATTTTATCCACATTACTTGTTCAACCTCCTTTTTTATACCTGAATTAAAAAATATCTTTATAAAACGCAATACCCCTTCCCTCTAGTGTTCCTGTGGAGCGCTTATTTAGTATTGCAAAACAGGTCATAGGGGAGAGGCGTGGATGTTTGTTAGATTCTAATTTAGAAAATTTATTACTTTTAAAGGCTAATAAAAGATTATAAATATTTTGATAGATAATTTAATATAAATAAAACCTTTTGATAAAAAATCTGATTTTGTTTCGTGTACCTTCTAAAAAATATGAAAATCAAAGGAGCGGTAATAGAGTGGCGCTCCATCACGTGGAGCGGGAGCTAACTCCTTTTAAAAATGTAGTAGCGAAAGCAGGAGCTAGCTCCTTTTGAGAACGTGGGAGTTAAAAAGGAGCGTTAACAACTTTGGGTATAATATATAGATTTATAAAAAAAAGAACGACGATTTAGAAATGGGCCGTAGCCTACCCTCTAACTAATCAGCTCAAATTAAGCATAATTAGCAGCTTTAAAAAATTTACGGATATGAATATGTAAATAATATTTTCAGCTTAAAATCTAAAGATAAGTGATTCTGGCGTACTCAGTCTCAATATTTAGTTAAAAAGCTGTATTCATCCTAATAAAAGGATTTATATATTCGTTATATAATATAAGTGTAAAAGAACATAAATTATGTTACAATTAAAACACATTACTATTACAAAGGGAAAAAAGCTTTATTTCTCTAATAATATATAAACCCATTTTAAAATTACGCGCATATAACAACAAAAATGGCTGAATTCCCAGTGATTCCCTGAATAAAATTGCTGATTCAGGAATATATGACCAATTTGTAAAGGCCCTTGATGAACTGTAGAATTTCGTTCCCGCCCAACTTTGATTCCCCGTAAAAACGGTCTACGAAAGTTATAGGTACCTTGGATTCATAAAAAAATATATAATATATTATCTAAGGCTAATGTCATACCAGCGCGTTCCTAACATTTGAGCGTAGAATGTAAAAAAGATAGGAAGCCAAAAATTGAGCGGGATATTAAGTTATTTAAGCATTAATTTTTTTTTTACTCTCTGTAATGTAATAAGTATATATAATATATGTTTTAGGGGGGGGGGGAGGGTATATTGGAACTAGGAATAGATTGGAATCTTTTACAATTAAATCAATTTAATAGGGCATATTTTTTTTTTAAAATCTTTAAAAGATCCATTTTACCGGTATAATATTCTAGCATACGTGCAATAAGTAACATACATAATCCTATAAATATTAGACAATTTATCTTCATGAAATATTGGGGTTAATTTTAATAAATCTATTTTTTTAAAACATATTTTTGTATTTGATAAAATGATTTATTTTAAGATATTGTAAAGAGAAAAAGAGTATAATATAGCAAATTATAAATTATTTAAAGGATATGGCCATCAGCGGCGATACTCCTAAATTCATAAATAAATATCGCTCGTCGATGAATTCTACAAGAGTTTTCTTTTCTATATCTACGGCAAATTAATTTTAATTGATTTAAAATTTCGTATAGCGGGAACACAATTCCGGTAAAAAAAATAACATCTTTTTAAAAAATATCTGGTATAAAATTATATGAATGATAAAGATTTTAGTATATCTCTGAATCACATAAATATAATTTTTTTATATCACAAAAATGTTTAATTTCGCCAACGCTCTGGTATGGCCTTGGCCTAAAAAACATTTATAAATTTTAAAACAAAATAGGTTTATTAATCCTTGCTCTTCCCTTTCTGAACAGAATTAACTTACTGAAAAACTCTTTTTGAAGAAGACCGGACAAATGCTAGTTTTAAAGTTATTTTTAGGAATTTAAATCGATTGCTGTCTTCCTATATGTTATTTTATAGCATATAAAAAACTTCTACTACAATAATATTAAGAAATAATTTTCTATATGATTAATATTTGGTCTCTTCATTCATCTCAGCTTACCTTACTATATTTTGTGTTATTTTCAACTAGGAATGCGCGAATTTTTACTATCAAAATAAAAATTCCTAAAAATTAAATTCGACGACGACGTATATTATATATATATATATAAACTTCTCCTATCGTCATTTGAAACTTTTTGGCCATAACCATCATCTCCATCTGGAAAACGTAACCTTTGGAGTGACAAGAGCGTATCAATTTTTCTAAGCAGATTTTTTTGTATAACCTAGTTTTTCAAATTTAAGAAGTTTTATGGATCGATGTGCGATAAATAAAAATATCTCATTTTCTTAATGTGGGATGAAAGTAAGAAGATGCGGACCTTGTTAGAATTAGAACCTTCGTGAAAAGAAAAACGTGGGAGTCCCAACTTTCTTTCTTTCTTGAAATGTAAAACTAGAATATGTGGAGATAAATTAATTAGAAAATCTTTACTAAAATCACTTAAATGTTCATGTAAAGAATTGAAGACCAAGTGCAGAATCGCCATTTTTTAAAAATATTATTAATTCGTGTGCAATGAATTTTTTTCTTCTTCTTTTATTTAATAAAATTATGTTCTTTCTCTCTTCCATTTTATTTTAAACAAAATAAATTTTGTAGAGGTAATTTAGAATATTTAAAATTTGAATAAGAGAATCGAATTGAAGATGGTATCAATGAAACTACCATTAAAATTCTCATTTAAAATAGACGTTTTAATTTAAACTAAAAAAATTTTTGTACTCATTTTTTTAGAAAAATTTGTCAGTCCTTGATAGTGAAAAGATCATTTATATTTTAAAAGTAAACACCGGGGCAAATATGGTAATCATTAAGCAATTAAATGAGTGATCTTGTATATGCATGCATGTAATAATGTAATTTAACCTAAAACTGCCAGTGAGATCGGACACCTTGGGATCCAATAGTATTTGCGTTAATAAATTGGCGCCACGACTGATAAAATACAACAAATTTTAAACATAAATAAAAAGAATATTGATAGAAAACTTTAAAAGAAAGTATATTTTCTCGATGAATATTTTTTTATTATATTCGATTTTGTGGTAATTCTATGTCGACTGCTCTCAGCATATTCAGTTCAATTTCAGATCGAAATAATTGGTTTTAAATTTTAAATAAAGTTTTTAAACATCAATTAAACAAGTTTCTTGGAATGATAGCTTTAATCTCATTTTACTTAGCGTCTCTGGTCGACTGATCCAAAATAATTTAAGATCTGTAGAAAATTTTCACTTATAACTGGTTAATAAAAACAAGAGATTGATACAAAGAAATTGGTATTAGGATAAGGCACTTGATATTGTGGCTGTAAAAAGCGTTGATTTTTGTTTGTCTGGTGATAAAAAATATGAACTATCAACTTAGAAAATTGCTGTCTCTTCTTTTAATAGTCATGTCTGCTTCAGTTTCTATGGTTTCTTCATGGATTATTATCACAGCTGTTATTCAAACTTTTCTTTTTTTCAAAGCTCTGCAAATTTCTGCGTAGGCTGTTAGAGATTTATTAGTCTGTCTATTATTTTAGTTACTCAGGAATTATATCTAGTGAGTTAAAGTTTTTTTTGCTTTGTTTAAGTTAGTAAATAGATTGGTTTTATAAACCTCTTCACCGGGTTAAAATATTCTCAGTGTTTCCACCAAGTCCAAACAATTCAGATCTAAAATTTATAAAGAACTTTTATGTAATAAAATAACCTTTTAAATATAAACACTTTGTGAATTATTTTTGTTCAAAATTCACTTCAATTTTACTTATGAGAATTTATTAAATAAAATCAATATAAATAGATATAATTATTATAAATCATCAAATTATATAATATAAACATGCAATCTTTATTTTCTAATTTATTCATAGAAATAATGATTAGGTTAAATAAAAAATTATGACAAAATTAACTTTTTTTCTTTCTTCTGTGCATATTTAACAATCATTTTATAAAATTTAAAAAAGGTTCACAATGTGTGGTCATAATTGGAGTGTTCTAATTGTCAAAAATTAATATTTTATCTAGTTTTTATTCTTATATTTCCTGAAAATTAATTAATTAAAATTAGCTTGTTAAATATCATTTTATTTTCTTGAATTAATTTTCTTACTCTTTTTATAAACATAATAGAATAAAAATATTTTCAAACTATAAACCTAATAATTTTTCTTTTCATGTCCCAACCATAGACACCCCCGTGTGCTATATATCTTGAACCTGTTATAATATCATAATTTCTTTCTTTTTGTTTTCTAAAAATATAAAAAAAATAATTATATTATCATATCAAATATAATAACATTAGTATTCTGATTACTTTATAAATTGAAGAATAAATTTTGGCTATAGGAATATGATGTAATTTTAATTTTGAATAGATAATTTTTTACATGATGTGATAGGTCACCATCCATTAAAATAACAAAATCACCTTTAGCAAATCCTAAAGCATATATATATGCTGTACCTATTTTATTAAACAGAAGTATTTTATAATAAATATTACATTATTACCAAGCCCTAATTTCTTGCCTCTTTGTTTAAAAATCTAAAAGATGATTGTTTATGCAATTAAAAAATATATTTACAATTTTATTTTTGCCATATAATTTCTCCAACTCAAGGGCAACTAATTCTGTTCCATCTGGGCTACCATCATCGATAATAATTATCTCATGATTTCTACAAAAATATTTTAAAGTATCCATTATTTTTGTTTATATGTACATATAAAAATATTTATTCAAATACCTACATCTCTTTTAAATAATGTTCTATCAACCAAATCAATATAGGCAAGTTTTCTCTCTCGTTATATGTTGGAATGATTATTGAATAAAATTCAGCGTGTTTCATATCATGAATGTGTGATTATATTTAATATTAGTGCTAAATGTTTCCAATTCTACATATAATCACTGAAACTATTAACGAAAAAGTAAGACAAGTATATTTTAATATGTGCAATCAGTATGTCTGTAAATGGGCAATTTTATCATGTCAGAATAGACTTATTCTTATAATAAATTGAATAATTGCAACTTAATCTACTGGCAGTAGCCCCATATAGTTAATACAAGTAGGATAGTTGGGGAGAGTGAAAAACCTTCTCATTCCTCACGATTAAATATAATAAGGGAATGTTCAATATTTTCATCTGAGAAAAATAAAAATAATAGCTTCACACCAAATTGAAGATCTTTATGCTCAAAGGTTAAAAGATTATTTGCGTTAACATTGTTATAGATTTGTCACGGTCTTACCTAATAAATAAAGAAAACAATAGAGATAGAAATGGGAGCAGGAGATAATTAATTATTTTTAATAATTTGTTAGAAATGTTAAAATGACTGTTGATAAAGTGAAGGTGGAGAAAATATTTCTTGCAAAACTTTATTTTTAGATTGTTTTTTTTTTGATAATGATTTCTTTTACTAATATAACTACTACTTTTAAAGATTTAGATTTTAAAATTAATTTTTTAAAATTATTATATTATATGCAGTAACTCTTCCTAAATATAGAAATTTTTGGGAATGCAGTAAAGCTCGAAGTTAAAAAATTGACTAAATATTTATGTTTGGGGACTTAAAGGAGAGAATTTTCTTATTTTTAGAACATATTTTCTAAACAAAAGCTATCGGAAGTTTGAATTAATAATGTACGTAAAATTCCGACGTTCAATTCGATTATATCCATGCAATTTAAATTTTTTTTAGATGAGATAGAACTACAAGCAGTCATCCATATACAATAAAAATGTGTTCTTTACATAAAGGATAAAAAAAAATCACCCGCTTCTCTTATGTATAAAAATAATTTGAATACATTACACCTATAATAATTTTCAATGTTAAACTCACATATATTATTAAATAAGCGTAATTCTTGATCATTTCAAAGATAGAGGGCTTTAAATATCTTCATCATTTTTAAAAAATCAATAACGATTAAGCAGTCTAAAGCATAATATAAGTCTATGTTATTTAAGAGTGCTCGACTAGAAATATCATATATATATATCTAATAAATTTCGAATTAAATAGAAACCATTTTGATTTTATTTTCACTATATTTTTCTTTTATCATTATTTTCATAAAGTATATAAATTTTAATACCAATAATAATATCATCTTTATTAAAAAAATCTATAAATAGTTCCAATATAATATAAATATATTTTTAAGATAAAATATGAGCGTGCTTTAAACGTTCTCTTCCAGTAAAGAAGAATTCAGGGTTTGAAAAGCTTGATAAACTCTATAACTATGCTATAAAGTTTTTTTTGTTTCAAAAAAAAAATCAAAAATTTTATAATATTCATAATAATATGTTGGCTATAAGTGCTATAAGTGATTATATTCATTTTAAATGATCACAATTTATTGAAACCCTATTTTAAGCTCAACAAATATTCGCAATAAATTTTCTCGTCCAATTTAATCGAATATACAAGTCAAAGATTCCTTACGAAAAAAAATAGTGATAAATGTTGGTTAATTAAATTTTGGAATCATCCTTTTTTATTCAAAAAACATGGAATGCAAAAAAAATATCGATTAATCTGCCTATGGTATTCTAGTAATTGGATTAAGGGGGGTGGGGGTATATATTAAATACATTGTATCTTCAAAATAATATATTTTTTGTTTTCACTAAAGATTATAAATATGGGCTCTTAAAAGGATCAATTATTGGATTTTACCTGATCGGTGGGTGTAAAGGCTTCGTGTATTAATTTCGATATGGGTAAGTTGGTTAAGTTGTTAGACAGAAATGTACGTTCGTAAATTGAGTACATTGCCCTATTTATAATATAAGTACATATTTAATTTAAAAAATTAATGCAAAATATACATAATAAAAAAATATTTTCCCAGAGCTTTTTAGAATATAATCACGATTTGGGCAAATATAGGAATCAACCGATAGCGGTATTTCAAAAAAAATCAATCTATATATTTACATATAATTAGAATTTTAAAGATTTTATTTCCCCAAAATTTTGAACAAAATCTTTTTTACGCATAAAAAACAAAATCATATAAGATATACTTATAACAAAAAAGATCTGATTTTAAGGTAACATATCCAAAATGTTTTAAGCATTCTCAAATCTCCAAAGATTTCTTACTTTGAAGAACATTTCAGAGCTCTACATATAATAATATCAGAAGAAAATAAAATATCAATTATCAATCGATTATTACAATATAACGGTCTCGTTATGGAGGTTAGGCGCGAAGTAGATTTCAAATATCCTTTGAATCATGGTTATACCGCCATCTTCTTTCTAAGACCGATTTTGTAAAAAAAAAATATTATATATATTTTTACAAAAAAATAAGATTTATTTGGTAATTGGTCGCTTTCAGATTTGTTAGAAATTCTTATTGAATTTAAAATATTATTTAGATTACCCAGTGATCATAGTTAGCGCGAATTATATCAAATATACAATAATACAGCATATTTTGTGTACTTCCCCACGAATTCATGCTAACTGTGTATGCAAAGTAACCCCTCATTAACATTTTAATTCCCGGCGGGGAGTATAAAAATACAACGCCTTTTGTATAATTCGCCGAGAATTGCGCTAATTATATATGAGATGTTAAACACAGACTCCGGAAAAAAATGGTAACCAAAAAAAGGATTTTTTTAAAATTTGAACTAGTCGTATACCACTTATTAGGTTGATGCAGCCCCACTCCATGGGCGTAACCAATAATTTTTTTAGCCGGGGCGAATAATTTACACAAAAATAGGAAATATTAATCCTCCCACCCTTAACGAACTTTGGAATTAGGATCGTCCGTCGTTGTGTTAGTTATGCTATCCCTTCTCCCGACCATGAGCATGTGTCTAGCGAGAATGGCATTGAACAATTCTGTCAATATAACAACAAGCGTGTGAGCAAACATGAGATCATCGGCCATTACAGTGCCACATTTGGCCAGGAGAGAAAGAATATTTAAGGCGGAACACTTCGAGTTGATAAAATTCTTAGATTCCCCTTTAGGATTGTGAGTCTTGGGAGGCACTAAATCCTTGGCATCATCTAGTATAGACAGATTATAGGTAAGAGTGGAAAAGTATTGAATCACGTAATAACAGCACAATTTTTGGGCTAATGGGTTTTCCTATTTATTATTTAAAAGAAGGAGAAAAATTTATATTATAATACTCTAGTAAATAATTATTAATGGCCTTTTAAAAATAGTATGACTTTTACTTTTTGTAGGTAATAAGGTAATTAAGATGCAACCCCCTCCCCCAAAGAGTTTTTTGAAATTAATTAGGATATTAATTAACAAGAGTGAAAAGGGCTAATAAATAATATATGATTATTATTCTAATTTAAGTCAAAATTGGGTAAGGAGTCAACATCTAATCCTCATGAAGTTCTCTTCACGTATAAAAAGGCCACCAATTTATTATTAATCAGATGAAATGGAGTCTTTAATTTGGTTTACACTGTAACATTAATCGTAGCATAGTGTTAGATCAATATAATACTGATGACCAGTAATATTATCAGAGTAAAAGCAGACGACCTCATTTGGAGAATAATAAATAGTAAAAACTTCAAAGAATTTAACTCGAGGTAAAATTGTTACAATAAAGTGTCTAAATGAGTAGGAGTTTGAGTGGACTCAGCAAATAAAACAATATCTGCAGCAATATTATTATAATACATGAGTCGAAATTTTCCAATTTAAAAAAATAGGGTAAGGATAACGTTGTTATTAATATATTAGAAGTGAGAATTATTATGTAATAAGAGAAAGTATGAGAGAGAAAAGATATTTTTTAAAAAATGAAATTATTTAAGAACCCAGAAATCAATTAAAAGCATATTACTCACGTATTTGAGAACGAATCTCCTCAAAATTCCTGAGGCGTTTCCGAGTTTTTTAGTGTTGCTTGTTTCATCGCAAGTACCTTTCCCCGTTAACGAGACGTACTCTTCTTCTAGCGTCGAAACGTCGTCGTCCGCCATAACTTCGACGAGGGCGGGCAAAAATGTGGTGGTCAAATGGTCCAAGTCGTGATTATTGTCGGCATCGTATAAGGCGTAATGTGGTTGGTCAGATTTGAGCAAATTTTGGACAGGGGTAAGGGCGATAGATAAAAAATGGAGGCATATGGTCAATACGGGCTCGTTCTAAACAACGTGATGGAAGAAAGGCAATTAGCTCCCATTTTAACCAACATTAAATTTATTCAAATAACGTTAATTCACAAATAAACATCGATTTCCATTATTCGAATATTATTCATTATTCCAACGGAAGATGAAAAACGGTTCAGAACGAATAGTTTTTTTTTAAAAAATTTAAATCTCTATAACACCAAGGTAAAGATGCACCGATTTTCGCTTTTCGCCGATACCTTAATAGAGCCTTTTAAATTAAAAATTTTTTTTGCTCAAACCTAGATCAGAGAGTCGGCCTGATAATTTAAAAAAAAAATATATATATATACACATCTTTTTATGAACAAGAGAAATTTATTTTGTGAATTTTAGATTGGTTCAAGTTTGTTTGATGGAATTAAAATCGAATTTTGGGATGTAGATTTATAGAAAATTATTGTTCTCCAAGTCGAGTAAGATCCGTGTTGTTTAACAGCGCCATTTTTAAAAACGGCTAACCAAATATTTCTGACATAAATTATTACGTAAGGCTGGTTATAGATGGAGGAATTACAATGTCGAGGCTAACGTAATATTATTTATTGCTAAAATATAAATATAAAAATTGCCGAAAGTCGAGTCGTTTAACAACACTAACCCTACATTAGTAAGCGTGAATAGCATATAAAAAAATACAGCTTATTTGTATAATTGGTCGCGAATTCGCGTTAACTATGAATGAGGGGTAAGTAAGAAGATGTTATTTTGATTCAGTTCTCCGTGACATTAAACTATTGCTCGAAAAACGACGCTGAGGGTCCCACTACCGATGCTGACTAATGTCACCCCCCCCCCTCCCCCGCCTTGAGATTTTAATGACGCTATTGCAGCGTACCCTATCTCGCCATATTAAATCGCTCAGTATTGTGCTTAATTAACGAAAAGTGCAGAGGATATTCAGAAATATTTGTTAACCTTTTACTCTAATTTTTTACTTTCTAAATTATGTCCCCGAGCTTAACTAATATATAATGAGGTTTTTTTTTCTTAGGAAAAGGGTTAATAATAAAAAAAATTAAGAAACTTACTCGTGGCAAACTATTCCTCTCTAAGATTTGGCTAAGAGTTTTAAGGATGGTGGAGCACAAGAAGTCAACCGTGAATGGATCTTGGAGCATAAAAACGATGATTCTAAAAAAAGAAAAAGGACATAAAAATATGTATTTTTAAGGGCAAAAAAAAGAAGTTTGAAATAAGTTTTTTTCTGGCATATAAACAAGAAAATAATTAGATAAATGTGTAATGCATTCTTTTTTTTATATTAAACTAAATTGTGGTTGCATAACCCTGCATTCAACAGTTAGAGCGAATTGGCGCTAACTGTGAATGCAGGGTAGGAGTTATGACAACAATTGACGATCTTGTGTATAACCCCCCTCTCCCTTCAATTACAAAAGTCAGTGGTAGGCGTATATAGATATTCCAAAGGGATAGGGCCTTAATTCGGCCAGGAATCATAGTATCTTAACTTAATGTCTCATATTCTTTTTATATAAGAATATAGGTCCGATCTATAGTAACAGCCGAAAAATATATATATAAAAACTCACTGTATAACGTCCATGGGAAACGTTATGATAGGTCTTACGTCAGTCACGACACCTAAATCCTTTTCCGTTTTCATCTTTTTTGCATCCTTCTTGACGGCAGGAGTCGCAGAAATTGAGTCGGGCTGCGTTTTGAGGCGCTTGTGTTTAGAATTAGGGGTGGCAAGCGATGAAGCTTCACCGTTGAGCAATCGCTTATTATCCGTTCCAGTTTTTGATTTATCAGGTTTAGCCTTACTATTCGTAGTTGGTTCTTTAAGAATAGGGCAGGCTATCACAACTTTGACTAGGGTTTCAGAAAATTAATTAATATAAATAAGTTAAATGAATAAAATTTTAAATGCTTTAAATAAATATATAATTTAATTCATTTTTTCTTTCATTAACACGGTTTGGTATGATCGAACTAATCATTTTACCTTATGATGTGAAACCAAAATAAATATAAAAAAGCACAACCTTTTTTTCCAACGGGACGACCCTTGCTTTTAGTTTTATCTTTGGAGGTGTCACTAATAAACAGCTTGGTAGCGGTATCATCGGCGATCCCACGAGGGCTATCAGGATTTATTACCCGCGATTTCGTATTAACCGCGGTACTGCCCAGAGAAGTGGTAAATATCGACCATAGTTCTTGGCATTTGCCAATAAAATTTTCGTGATAAGAAAATGGATCCTTATCGTTGTTATCTGCCGCGATATGCTTCTTAAAGCTGTGAGAAATTAAGGCGCTTTCTGGAATGTTCAGTTTGGATTTATTGTGGTGGTGTAAATTGTTGGGAGTTGCGGCCCTGAGGAAATAAAAACTAAAATTATATTATGCTTAAAAAGGGAATATGATTGGGCAAAGAAATCGGAGTCTGACTTATGCAAACTGGGACATTTTTTTTCTGACTCGGTTGAACAGGATTTTATCACTTTCAATCAGTCCTGGAGGATCTAGAAAATTTTTTTTGTTATCCTATCCTAAGTCCTTTTCAGGAAAAAAACATCAATTTTATTTTGGATAGGGGCAGGTTTAGAACCATTTCAAAAAAATGAAAGTGTGAATGGAAGCTCTTTAACACAAAAGGATCAATCGAATTTGCCGGACAACATTTTTGAAGCACCGGCCACGTAAATATAAGCTTAGATGCAACTAGTGCGGCGCAATTTTATCTATTACATTAGTTTATATTGTATAAAAAACTTTTTTCCGGCCGATTCGTCGTTCCCGAATTCTTTTTTGATCATTTCACCACCATATTCGCCTTTTAAGAATGTTTCGACGCTGACGGATTTGACGTAATAGTATAGCTTGTGATATTGGTGAGGAGGGACGTTATTTTTCCCCGAAAAAGCACTGCCAGTAACGGCAAAGTTTTTGGAGAGAGAGCTGGAGCAAGAAGTCAGTCTGTCCCTTTCGCAAGCCTCAAAGATCCACAAGAATTTGGCTAATGTCTCGAACCATCCCCCGTCCGTAATTTTGTTTTCTCGAAGGGCAGCAAACATTTCCCTGCAAAGCGTGCTCAAGTGATGCTCACGATTGATGGACGCATTCTCGTGGTGGTCATTGGACGTCTGATCCAAATGAGTGTCAGGAGTTTTAAGGCAGGTTTTAACGAATAAAGTGAATAGGGAAGGCAAAGAGGTGGGTAAAGTTGAAGGAGGTCCTAATAGAAGCATAGATATGGGTTGAAAGTAGTTGTTGTAAGGGATTGTGCTACGCCTCTCTTTGTTAGTCAGGGCTAAATAATATTGATGCATGACAGAAATCGACTTGTTTTGTGAATGAAACGATGACAGATTTGTGTTGGGGGTATTCAACGCAGAGCTATCAGGAAAAGGGGCGATTAATTTGGTCCGAGCTTCTGCATAATTTCTCAACAAAGGCGAGAGTTCCGAGTTGAAAATGTTGGGGTAAGTGAGCCATACATGCCTTTTGACGGGAAGGGAGCATAGGTGATACAGACAAGTAGGGGATAATTTTACACTTTCCCCCTTGTCCAATTCGGGGGAGGGAGTAGTAAGATTGTTATTTGGGGATGTTAGTAAATCAGAGACTATTTCTGCTTTTAGTTTGGCTGCTGATTCTGAACGATAACCCTTAGTTTTGCTTTTGCTAATTTTAAGTTTTATTTTTGTAACCTAGTTGTTTTAATTTGTTTATCAAATAATAGATAAATAAATGTTGACTTGGACATAATTAGAGAGTGCACAGTGATAAAATATCGAGAAAATAAGGCGATAAATTTTGTTATTTGCACCAAGAGCCGAGTTTGAAACCCAGGCCAAATATGGTTCCTGTGCCAAATAATTTTTTTTAAATGGAGATTAGAATTTCCTACTAAAATTTTATTTTTTTTAAAAAAGAGGGTTCTAATTCTTACCAGTTTTGTGGATTTCATTTCCTCAATGAAAAAGAACGTTTATATAAATCCCCTTTAAAAAAATGAATCACTAAATTTAAAATAGATTGATATTTTAAGGGTAATTGCATCAAAATATATAATGGCTAAATAACATTTAATATTTTTTGCTGAACCTGTGATTGATTATATGGTTGTTGAAGTATAGTATTTGGTGAAGATGTAATGTGATGGATTTCTGGGATCAATAATTGACTCAAAAACTTTTTAGGTACTGAGGGAATGACTTCCATAAGAGTAATAGGTATTTGTCTCATTTGAGGAATTTTCATGGCTGGAAAACATTTTTCAAGCAAGTCAGTTAGCAGCTTTAATTTTGTTTCATCAAAACAGCTCTCTTTTTCAGAAGTTTCTGATTTAACCAGAGATTCTATCTTGAGTTTTGAATTAGGTTTAAGTTTAGACTTTGTAATTTCTCTATTAGTTGGTTTAGTTTTGTTTGGTGAGGATGGTGGTTTGGAAATGGATAACATAGATGACTTAACATAGGTATTGAGAATACGTTTCTTGTGAGGTGAATTGAGATCTGTATAGTGTTGTTGAAGAAAAAAAGGGCAATAAATAATTAAGAAACTATAAAATGTATATTTTAAAAGTGATAAATAATTAGTTTCTATAAGTAAAATGTATAGACCTATTTTAAAAGTGATAAATAATTTGTTTATATTTGTAATATATATAGTACCAGATGTAATAATTGACTTATTTTCATTGATTGGTTCTTCAATCTTTTCATTTGTAATTCCTTTTTGTATTTTTTTTGATTTGACTGTAATTAGTTTCATTTTGCCACCAATAAATGTTAATTTTTTTTTAATTTGTCTTGTTTCATTATTATCATGGGTATTTAGATTTTTATTTTTAAATTCCAAAGATTTAGAGAGAGCAATAGTCTTCAGAAATTCTAAAGAACTATCAACAGGTTTTTTGGGCAATTTCGTAGGAGAAAGAACAGGAATTGATGATCTTTCCAAGGTTTTTGTCAATTCTTTAATACGATTGATCATTCTAATAAACATAGATAAATAAACTTTTTTATTTGAACATAGAATTTTGCAACTTACAAATTTTTTAATTCATGCAAAATTGATTCATGGAATTCCAGCCTGGGAATATTGTGTAGATCTAGAAATGGAAGAGCACTTTGTAATGAGGCTAAATGGATTCCATTTTCTCTTTGAAAATCTTGGATAGCTTTGATGGGATCAGTGCAATTAGTCAAGGTTTCTCTTAAAAAATCACCACCTTTTATTTTAAAATCCTCCAGCAAATTTTTTTTATTTTCACTCATATTTCTTACCAAATAAAATAATACGGTGATTGACAGCTATCAAATATAGTTATAGTTTTTGAACCTAGCTTAACATTTAGGTTTACCTGCAAAATAATTATATATATTAATGAATGTTTATCTAATCGTCTCCATATTAAGCCTTATGAAAGTTAGGAATATATAAATTCACAAATAAAATTATGGAAATAAGCCCTCTTGCGGTGTTTTATTATATATAAAATAAATACTAGGGGTCGAGACGATATTCCAATAGAAAGCCTAAAAGCATTAGGAGATGATGGAATACATCTCCTCACAAATCTGTACAATAAAATACTTGGAAATGAAGAAATTCCCCAAAAATGGAGGCAGAGCTATCTAGTTCCTATCTTCAAAAATAAAGGGGATCCACACAATTGTCAAAATTACAGGGGCATAAAATTAATGGCACACTGTCTAAAACTATACGAAAAAAAATTAGTAAAAAGATTAAGAGACATAATCGAGATAGGAGAGACTCAGTTTGGCTTTATGCCTGGAAGATCATCAACTGATGCTATCCCCGCAATATTTCAAATGAGTGAAAAATATAGGGAAAAGAATAAAAAGCTACACATGGTCTTACTCGATCTAGAAAAGGCCTTCGATAGAATCTCAAGAAAACTTATCTGGTGGGCGCTACGCTCAATGATATATATATCATTGGCTAAGCTACAAAAATGTTTCTGAAAAATATATAATTAATACAGGATATGTATATGGGCCATACAGCAATGGTCCGTATCACAACAAGTACTTCAGCAGGTTTCACAATAGCCGAAGGAGTTCATCAAGGGTTGGCTCTCAGCCCACTTCTCTTCATTACAGTAATAAATGTATTAGTACAGTCTATACCTCAAACAGTCCCGTGGAATATGATATTTGCAGATGATATTGTGATACTTGCCAAATCCAAGGATGAAATGAAAGAAAGATTAGTGAGTTGGATAAATATCCTAGAAACGCACGGATTAAAAGTAAATAGAGAAAAGACGGAGTATATGGTGATAGGAGGAGATGAAACGGAGAGTATTGATATAAATGATTGGCAGATATCCGCAATTAAAAGCTGCAAATATTTGGGCTCCACTATACAAATAAACGGCACAATAGAAAAAGAGATAAAGAATAAAATTAATCAAGGGTGGTTAAAGTGGAGATCTTTATCTGGAGTGCTATTTGACAAAAGAATCCCACACAAATTAAAGAGAAAAATTTACAGTTCCATAGTACAACCAACTATTCTATATAGGAAACATGGCCAGCCAAAGAATCAGACGAGAGATGTCTACAAACTATGGAGATGAGAATGCTGAGGATGATTGCTGGGGTAACAAGAAAGGATAAAGTGCGCAGTACAAGAATACTAAAATTTTTTTTCTCATTAGAATGTATTATTTATACAACTATTTTATGTATTACTTTTCAAAAACATGAAAACTTGATTAAGAAGTTGAGAGCGGAGATCATTTTATTAGAATTCAAGGAAATAATGGCTAATGTTGATGAAGAATTTTATATGTTATCGTTAAGTCAAAAGCAGAGCTATACATGTTTAATATTTGTCTCTCTCGACTTGCAGCAAGGCAAGGTCATAGTTAAAACATTAATATAGGATCAGTAGAAAACTATATCTTAGATACAGATACATTTATAACCCAAATAAATAAGTGATTTGTAATTCATCATGCAGCTCTTAAAAATCTGCAAATATTACTTCCATAAAAACCTTCCTAACCTTTTTCAGATGGTGATAGAAAAAAATATATATTTGGATTTTTATCATGAAGATGTTAAAGTATCTTATGATGCTGTATTAGCTGAATAACTATGTTTATAAGATTAATGGTTGATATAGTCCCAAAAATGCTATGGATGCTCTGCATTATTTCAAACACATTTTAAATTATATTCCCAATGTATTAAAAAGGTTTATATATAGTAGCAACTCTTCCCATTAGTAAACTAATGACCATTCTCTTTTTTAAGAAGAATAACAGAACCCAGCAGAGACCATTTACAGGGCACAGCCCGGATTTTTTTTAAAATTTTTACGGCCCAGCTCGGGTTTTTTTTAAATAAAATTTAGGCTCAGCCAAGGGTGTTTTTTTAAAAAAATTTCGGGCCCGGCCCGGGTATATTTAAATAAATAGAAATAAGGTTAGGCCCGGGGATACCAAGAAGTACAACTTCTGAAAGTAGATTGAAAGGTTTGGACTTTTGAATATTCATAGGCATTTGACGACAAGCATGGATGAGATAATTGATAAATTAGCTCAATCCCAACGAAGATTGGATTTTACATTGTAAATATATAACATACAAATGACAATTCATCCTAAGAAACTTTTTGTATATTAATTTATATTTCTAACATTTAAATTTTTTATACTTTATATATAAATTTTAAAGGCTCAAAAAATTCAAATTTCTATTTTGGGTCATTTAAGTGATTCTTTACATATAATTTTTTTATAATTCACATTAATTTAAAATTATGTATTAGAAATAGTTATTAGTCCTAATAAATTTATGCCTAATATTTTTTAAAAACAAAAATATTTCTTAAAATATTTTATTGCCCCCCCCCCCCCTCAGACCAAATTTCTGCGTATGCGCCTGTGATTGAATATTGGATATTATATTATAATAATGGGAGTTATTTTTTTAGAAAATAAAGATTCGCTATCTAAATATAAATATGAAAATACTTTTAATTTTAATGGTATATTTTAAATAGATTTTTATTTAGGTGTTTTAATATGGTTTTAAATAAATTATATTCTATATCTGTTTTAGGTAAAATTAGGCATTAAAAATATTTTAAATTAAAAATAAAATAATTGTATTTTTACAAAAAAAAAAAAATTTTCAAAATGTAATAAGTTAGATATTCCATGAAAAAAAATCCCGCCCAATACTATTCTTAATTCATATTAAAAATTAATTTTCATTTCAAAATGTAATGAAATTCTATGAAAAAAAAATCCCACCCAATAAGATTATTAATTTATATTAAAAATAAATTTATTGATAGTTTATATCAGTTATTTTATTATAACAAATAAAGAAAATAAAATTAAATATCTCTAAAAAATGAAATTAATTGAGTCATAATCAAATCATTTTTATTATATACAAATAAATGCCTAATATTTCAAAAGAATATTAAACACAAAATATTGAATATAATTTAAATCACTTTGATTTGCATTTTTTTGTTTTGATATATATATAATGCGATAAATATTTGAAAACTGATTTGTATATAAATATTCTAATCATCTTCTAAAAAATAAAAAATTATTGAATTTTTATACATGATTCAAGTGTCATTAGAGATTGAACCATCTTTAGATTCATTCTATTTCGTTTTTTTATGGTATCATTAGCTTTAGAAAAGATAGTTCACATGCTACTGATCTAGCCTGCTATGGGAGATAGTCCATTTCTATTTGGGCCAGAAATCGATATAGATTCCATACCCACCAAATTATCTACTTTCAACTCTAGAAGAGGGTTATCCAATATTGTACATTAATTAAAAATAATTCATAGTAAACATTTATCTTTTTTAGTCGGTCTTCGGGTCTTACCGAACCGGTCCACCAGACCGTGTTGTCATATCAGACCGTTCCGTCGCCAATAGTCAGATGACCAAACTGGACCAATTAAAACACTAGGTGGGAGTGTGAAGAAATAAATGAATAAATTAACCGGAGTTGAAAAATTATTGTTTTTAAAAAATATTTTTTAATAAAACAACAAAATTAAAATTATTTTCAAAAAATAAAATTAGGTTATTTATTGCTCTTTCAAGAGTAAAGTATATTATTTTATTTTTTAATGATATTTTTTATAATTTATAAAAATAATAAGGAGAAAAGAGAGAAATATTACAATATAAAATTTTCACGAATGAATTGGCGGAAGCATATTTAGGCATGGTTTTACATTATGTAAATCTACTAAATGCTGCTTATAAGCAATTGCAATCAGAGGAATCTTTGTTAAAAAAGATTTACAAAATTATGTTACAGCTATGTTGATCTTTACAGCCAAAAATTGATAATAAATTTTAAGGCTCCATTGTTAAAAATGTCATTTTCAATTGTTTAAATGTTGCCCTAATTTATGGATTTTTAAATAAATGAAATATTATTACTAAAGCAATTTTAGAGTATTTCCAATCAAAATTTTTATTTAATAATTCTATTTACAAATGTATAAAATGTAATATGAATTTAAAACAAAAACGATCAATTGATAATTTTGTAATTTAATTAATATATTAAAAATACCGATAGATATTAATCGTTTTTATGATATGATTTTTCAGAATATTCCAAAATAAGTCTAAATGCAAAGGAGAAATGAGTATAACTTTTTCGTAATAACGATACATCATTATTATGCTTAGATTAACCCTAGTCTACATCAGACCTTGCCAAAAACTTAGTAATATATTTAGCCAACATCTAAAAATTTACCCAGTACTACACATATGTACAGTTTTTTTATAAAAATTAGTGTAAAAATCAAGCGGCTGTGCATTATCATTAGTTAAATATTTTTTTAATAAAACATATGTAAATAAATAATTTATTTTAAATCTCCTCTTTTTCTTCACATTTAAATATATTTATTAAATTGGATATTTTTATCTTCAGGTATATATATATCCAGTGTGTGTCCTGGGTATTTTTGTCCCTGTCATTTTGTCCAAAATATTTCTGATCGATTACCGGGTCTAATATACCTAGACCTGTGCGCCGATGTCTCAATCAACGGCGGCGGTTTTTTAAATTTTTTTATCGGCGTTCGGCGGCGCAATATTTATTTAAAAATTTTTTTTAATGAATTTAATTTATAAATCAATATATTTTTTAATGAATTTAATTTATAAATTAATGTATTACATTTTTTATAATTTATGTAGGCGATCTTTTCTAACACATTGCTAACATAGTTTAATTGAT